CCCTATCGCACGGACTCGTCGCGAATGGCCAGCATACCCGGACTACTTGGCCCAGACGATCCCTCGGCCTGCTGACACACTCTGCCGACTGGCACTAGCCCACGATGCGGGAGTCAGATTATGGGGAGGTCACGAAGTCTTACTCCGTCGGCGTGTCCAGGTTTGAATCGATACGGCTGGGTTTGCCGGACTCCGCAGGGGTTACTCCACCGCGGCAAGAATTGTACCGTCACGACGGTGTACTGCAGGACTAGTATCGTTTATCGTGCCGTTTCGACGACCCGACTATTCCATTCGCCACTTCCGCCTTCACCAACTCCCGTGGCCTGCGGACGTTCTGCAAGATCTGGGTGTCGAGAACGTCGAATTGAGGGTGACACTGCCTACTTACTTCATCAGACCCTCGGCAGCGTCGCCGGGGGTGGTGCGAATCGCTACGCACGTTACAGCATCGCACGGTTCCCCCTCCGCTTCGAGTTGAGGGGGCCGACTGAAACGACTCCCGAGTTCATCAGGCGTGTGAATCGAAAGGCTGCTGTCGAGGAGCACGGACGTCAGCGGTCAGCAGGCGGGGTCGATCTGCTTGGGCTGAATCGCCAAAAGTCAGCGCACAAGGGTCGCTGCATCAGGACGTGTGGTCGGGGAGTGGCGCCGAACTGGCTCGCTCGGCGGTGATAGCGGTCCACGCCGTCGGTGGCTGGTGGAAGAACAATCTCCACAAAGGTCGCCGTAACCGGCCGGTGCGGTATGCGTTGCTGGTTTCGCTGAGAAGCCGGCAACAGGAGATCGACCTCTACACGCCTATCGCCGCTGAACTGGGAGTGCCCGTAATCGGGACGACGACAATCGAAATCTGACCGCCGCTATCCGTGCTGGCCATTGGCTGCGGGCGCCTGCCGGGGTCGAGCCGTGGTCAGCACCCCCGTCTCAGGGGCCTCTGCGTGGCGCCTGAGGGCGCTGAACGCCAGGTACTGCGAGACGATGCCGACGCCCAGCACCGCCGCCAGGGCTTTGCCGAGCGCCACGCCGTCCCAGGTGATGAACAGCGTCCGCAGGCCCTCCAGGATGTACGTGACCGGGTTCCATGCCGCCACCGCCGACAGCCAGCCGGTCATCGCCTCGCGGGGCAGCCACGCCGGGGTCAGGAACACGATCGGAAGACCTACCACAGGTGGTCTGTTGACACGCGACTCTGTCGTTGCACGGTGCGGCGATGCGCGATGGTGTAGGGGAAACCGGTGAACACCAGCCCCCACAGGGCGCAGACGGCCAGACTGTCCACGATCCCGGCCGGCGATTCCGGTGGCAAACGTGACGCCCAGGACCAGACCCAGTACCACCACCGGGATGGACAGTCCTACGAACACCACAACATCGGCCACGAGCATCCCCAGTAGCAGCGCCCAGCGGTTCAGCGGCGTCAGCAGCAGGCGGTCGAAGTAGCCGCCCTTGATGTCCATCACCAGGTTCGGTGCCCGGGACAACCCGGTCACCATGGTGACCAGCGCCACCGGCAGCTGGAAGGCCTTGTAGTCCAGGTCGGGGGCGGCGCTGTTGGCGATGTCTTGGAGGGCGCCGATGACAACGGCGTAGAAGGAGACCGGGGCGAGGAGCGCAGGGATGAGCGCAGCCATGTCCCGTGGCAGCAGCATCACCGCCCGGCGTCCCACGCTGCGCAGGTCGTGCCAGAAGCCCACGCTGCGGGCGGAAATCGAGGCGTTGTCGGCGGTGCTGGTGGCGTCGGCAGCATGGGCGCCGTCGGTGGCGCGGCGTGGGCGTGGGGCCGCGCGTCGCCGCTGATCGCTGCGGTGCCTCCGGTTTCTGATCTTTTTACACGATGAACGGCTCCGTCGTCGCGCCGGTTTCCCGGACACAGCGCCCGCCGTGGCGACACCTCCCGCATAGTTCCCACCGGCGGACTCCTGGGCTGTGCCAGGCTCCCCTGCGTCCCTGTCTCATGGTCTGATCTCTCGTGATGTGAACTCGCCGCTGCGGGCCCCGCCGCCGCCGGCCACGCCCCCGGGATCGGTGCCCGGCAGGATGTGCCGCCCGGTGAGGTCGAGGAACACGTCGTCCAGCGTCGGCCGGCGCAGCGAGATGTCCAGCACCGGCAGGTCGGCCGCCGAGAGGGCCACGGCCACCGGGCTGATCGTCGCCGCCCCGTCCTCGCTCGCCACCGTCACCTCGCGCCCGTGCGCCTCCACGTGCGATACCCCGGGCAGGCTTTCCAGCACCGCCACCGCCCGGGCCACGCTGCCGCCGCTACCGCTGGCCACGTCGACCCTGCCGGCCACGTCAACCCCGCCGGCCCTTCACCGCAAACCCCGACCGGCCACGTCAACCCCGCCGGCCACGTCAACCCCGCCGGCCACGTCAACCCCGCCGGCCACGTCGACCCCGGCATCGTCAACGCCGGCATCGTCGGCCCCGGAATCCTCGGCGAGCCGCACCACGATCACGTCGGCACCGATCTGGCGCTTCAACTCCTCCGGCGGTCCCTCGGCCCGCAGCCGCCCGCCGTCGATGATCCCCACCATACCTCGTGGACGAGCCATCGCTTCCTCCATAGACTACGCGTGGTCAGGAAGATCGTCATCCCCAGGTCGGCCCGCAGCCGGGTGATCTGCTCCCACACGACGGCCCGCGAGGCGGGGTCCAGCCCCGTTGGGTCCGGGCTCTGTCGAGGACGGCACGCGTGACGGGTTGTGCATCAGCGACGCCGCCACGTCCAGCCGCACGCTGTCAATGCCGCCCGATAGGTCCGCTGCGCCGGTCTCATGGCCGCCCCTCGAGTATCTGCCTACAAACGTCGCGATGCGGATCTCGATCTCAGACCGGGTCAGCCCGTAGAACCGCCCCTGTAGCGCCAGCAGTTCCCGGCCGGTGAGGTTGTCGTCCAGCGCCCCCTCCTGCAGCGTGACCCCGATGCTCAGCCGCACCTGGCCCGCCTCCCGGACGATGTCGAAGCCGGCCACTCTGCCGCTGCCTGCCGTGGGCCGCAGGAGTGTGCAGAGCATGCGGGTAGTGGTGGTCTTGCCGGCGCCATTCGGGCCGAGTGAAAGCCGTCAGATCTCGCCTGGGGTACATATCCAGTCGAATGCCGTCCCACGGCCCGTATGTCGCCGAAGTGCCGGGTGAGGCCGCTGGCCACGATGGAGGTGTCGCCGTTGGCCGGGACGCCGCCCGCATGTCGATGCCGAGTACGCATGGTCTCGGCACGATATCCGGGGCCTGTGACATCCCCGGCGGCTCTGGCCGGTCCGCTGCCGCTATGCGCCCGGCGGCCGGCCGGCGCACTACCGACGGGTCGCTCCGTGCCGGTGCGCCCTAGGCGTGCCGACTCGGGATACACGTGCACAAGTCGAGGCGGAGGGAGTGCCGGCGTGGACGGTCACGAACTCGACATCCGGAGGGTCGGAGTGCTGGGCGGCGGCACGATGGGATCGGGCATCGCCGAGGTGTGCGCCCGGGCCGGGCTCGACACCAGGGTCGTCGAGATCGACGCCACCGCCGTCGAGCAGGTGCAGAAGCGGATCGAGACCTCACTCGGCAAGGCCCAGGCCCGCAACCGCATCAGCGCCGAGGACCACGACGCCGCCCAGGGCCGGCTGTCCTACGCCCACGACGTGGCCGACATGGCCGACCGGGATCTCGTCATCGAGGCCGTCATCGAGAACCTCGACGAGAAGCGCCGCCTCTTCGGGCTGCTCGACCGACCCTGGTTGACCCAAGCCCCGCACGCTCCTGGTCCTCCCCTCCAACACCTCCTCCATCGCCATCGTCGACCTGGCCACCGCCACCGGGCGCCCGCAGCGGGTCGTCGGCATGCACTTCTTCAACCCGGCGCCGGTGCAGCCGCTGGTGGAGATCGTCCGCTCGGTCGCCAGCGACGAGCAGGTGGTGGCCGCCCTGGCCGCTTTCACCACCGAGGTGCTGGGCAAGCAGGTCATCCGCTGCGAGGACCGGGCCGGGTTCGTGGTGAACCGCCTGCTGGTGCCGTACCTGCTGTCGGCCATAGCGCTGGCCGACACCGGCCAGGCCTCACCCTAGGCCGGCCCACCTCGTCACGCCGGCATGAATACGGCTGCGCCCCACCCCCATGGCCCGCTGAGCCTGTGTGACCTCATTGTGGCTACAGACGTTGATCGTAGGCGTGGCGGAGGTCATGCACGCCGAGTTCGCCGAGCGGCTGTACGCCCCGCCCCCGCTGCTGCGCCGGATGGTGGCCGCCGGCCGCCTCGGCCGCAAGTCCGGCGGCCGTCTTCTCTACGACACGGCTGACCCCCGAACCGACCCGCGGGGGCCAGCAGCCTGCACCGACGCGCAGGGCTGACGGCCCGCACCGACCCACGACGGCAATGGAGGACAGATGCGCGATCAGCGGAGAGATCCTTACCTGGACAGGCGGCTAAATTACGGCCGGCGCACCCGGCCCGCTGGCGAGTGGTTCGTGACTCGGGCTCCGTCCCGCCTGATCCTGTCCACCCGCCGTGGCGGCCCTTTTACGCCGGGTCGCTGGGCTATGCGCTCAGCATCAAGAACCTCTTCGTGATGAACGTGGAGTACTACACCGACATCGACGAGCGGCCACCAGACACGTGGCCCCGTCGTGCTTGCCGCCTACCTGACAAGCTGGTGACCTCCGGCGACGCCAGCATGCTCATCGCCGACGACGTGGCCGACACCGGCCACACCCTGGAGATGGTGCCGACACTGCACACCGCCCACGTTGCTGTCAGGTGCGCACCGCCGTCCTCTACGAGAAGTCCCGCTCGCTCGTCTCGTCAAGTGAGACTCACTCTGGCAGCCCGAACCGTACTCTGATCGACTTCCCCTGGTCGTCGGAGCCCCCCCTGATCTCAGGCCCAGCCGCAGCCCCGCCCTGACCCGCCGCAAAGCGCCTGCCTGACCCGGCCGCTACCGCGGCCGTTGTACTCTCGATCCGGTCGCTGTGCACCTCGTCGGACGCTGTGAACAGCGGCAGATCCAGATGCTCGGCCAGGACGAGCGCCGACCACGAGTCCAACGAATCGACGGCTCCCAACCCGGCTCGAGGGACGTGGTGCTGCGCGCCACCGATCGTGCTGCCGCCCGGACACTCCCACGTCGTGGACGGTTGCTCCGACCCCAGCCCGATCTCCACCCTGGATCTCCGCCCTCCGTTGTCCCTGTTGCCCGGGCCCGCCAGGAAGCGCCCGATGGCACCCGCCGACCATCCGAGGTGCCACAACTCGCGGTCGGACGGGACGACGCCGGCGAGGGCGCCCGATGTGGCGAGCACCCCTCCGGCGTCACAGACGATGCTGCGCGGCATCGAGGTCGCGGAGTTGCTGCCGGATCGCCTCGAACTCCGAACGGCTCATCGGCTCGTGACCGCGGGCGAACTCCGCCGGTGACTGACGCGACGCGATCCGGGTCAACTCGTTGCGCAGGTACTGCTGCACCGACAGCCCCGCCGCCTCCGCCTGCTGCCGCAGCCGCCTGCCGACCGCAGCGTCGAGTCCTTTGATGTTCAGGTCCACGATCCGCATTATACCAAACTGGTAGAAACCCGCAATATCTCCCGACGGGAGCGGGAGTCCTTTGACATTTTGGCGAAGGTCTGACTGTCCGGCTAGTGCCACCACGCACCAGATCGTTCATCTGACCTGGCGTTTGTGGTCTTGGGGGCAGTCCAGTTCATGCCGTCCGATGCCGTCTAGCGTCGGCCCGTCCGCTAGAAGATCCGTTAGAAGCCAGCGCCATCGTCGCCGCCGACTCGCTGTCGTAGAATCGTTGGAGGCAGTGTTACAGTTCGTCTAGTGCTGTGCACAGTGCCATCAGGTCGCCGTTCGTGGGCGTCTCGGACTCCTCGGCGACACGCCCACAAGCTTGGCGGCCAGGGAGCCTGCACTGCCGAATCTGCCAGCGGCGCACAAATTGCCATTTGGAGGATTGAGCTTGATTCCAGACGGACAGCAGGCGTCTCGAGTCGCTGACGGTGGGCGCACCGTATCGGTGGCTGACGCGAGGGCTTTTGTTAGTCGGGCCGCCCGCTTCGCCGGTATGCCCGATGAGGATGTAGTCCGCTTCGTTGACGGCCTTGTCGAAGCCGATCTTCGCGGGCTTGCATCGCATGGCATGGTGCGAGTGCCCCCCTACGTACGCGCGCTCGCGGCCGGTGTGGTCAATCCAAGACCTCGCGTCGAAGCCTCACGCGAGTTCGGCGCAACCGCTCTCGTCGACGGAGACACCGGTCACGGGGTGGTGATCGGCCAGATCGCTACCGATTGGGCGGTGGAACTCGCACGCGAACACGCGTCTCGCGGTTGTTGCCGTTCGCAGACAGCCATACGGGGCATGTTGGCCGTTCATGTCCTCAGAGCGGCACAGCATGACATGATCGGGTACTTCACCAGCAACGGTCCTGCGATCATGGCACCGCACGGTGGTCGCGAACCACGCATGGGCAACGCCCCCTTCGCCTACGCGATTCCGAGACGGACCGGGGAACCGATTGTGCTGGACATGGCCTCTTCACAGGTTGCCCGTGGCAAGGTTCGGATGCATGCCGATCGCGGGGAACCGATTCCCGGAAGTATGTCGATGACCGACGCGCCGTTCTTTCCTACCGTGACGCCGCCGCTGCAATGAAGGGCTCAATGGTGCCGATGGCCGGCTACAAGGGTTACGGCATCGCCTTCGTCGGAGCTTCCGCACTCCCGTGCTACGGAGGCGACCTTTGTCCGGTCGAATGCCTGCGGTCCCTCCTCGAGCCGGCTTCGACCATGCTCGACTCGTGGGGATCGGGTCATCTGGCCATGGCGATCAACGTCGAAGCGTTCGCAGACCCGGAGGAGTTCAAGACGGGCGTAGAACTCGTGCCTTCGTGACCTCACTGGTGACCGACGAAAGAGGGGGGGGTGGGGAGGTCATATCAACCCTTAGGGAAAAGGACTCACTCACTCTGACTATTTACATTTAGCCATGACCCAGTAAGCCAGGTAAGCGCGGCATCTGGAGTAGGAGGCAAACAAAGAAGGGGCACGGGGAGATGGGGGAGTGTATAGCCTAAAAATATTCCAGCGCTAATATTCAGATCGCACGCAGGAAACTTCCTGGCTCACCTTAATTTTCAACGTAGCAACCCCTCACCTCGAGGAGCGCAGAAAAGTCAAATCGGACGAGCTCACGCGCGACTGGAAGACAGAGTGGAAAGACCAAGAAGGGGGATACAGGAGGAGGAACAAGTAAGAGCGGGGCGGGCTATGGGACGAGGCATCTGCGGAGTGTACGGAAGAAAGAGAAGGGGGGGCAAGTGCCTCCTTACCGGAACGCGGAAGCACTTGAAGCGTTGATTTTTTCACAGAACGTCTCCGACTTTGCCGGAGGTTTGCACGCATACGAGCGATCGTTTGTTTCTTGCCGCAAGTCACTACGGTAGATCGTTGAGCTCTTCCTCGGTAGTCACTGAACAACGCCATTTGCTGCTAACTCAGCATCAGTGAACCGCATGCGCCGAGGAGGGCGTTTCCAATGCGGTGCGCGCGCAATTTGTCTCGTAAACCTGGTCCACGAACGAGACTAAGCCTGGACTGGATGCCTGCAGAGAAAATGAAAAGCACTGAAGTGCAAACCCTCGGCGAACTGCGCATGCGCGGTAGCACTAATTGATGGGCTGGGCTTTGTATGTCATTACTCATGGTATCCCGCTAGTAGCTCGCGGAGAGTCTGACACGGGCTAGGTATAGTAGTAGATAGCATGCGGGAGTCGATACATGCTCTTCGTTGTGACTTCTTGTGCCTGCAACATACACAGAGCGAGCGGACGCGCCTGTGCTAATTTGCATATTGGCTTGTTCACTTGTTTTCCACGCCATAACTTTTGAACGCAGCAGTTTTACGAAAATCGCATTTTTTAAAATGAAGCCAGTGTAGCGACGAACACGTTGGTATCGCTATTTTGTTATCTCGTTGCGCGTAGTCGAAGTAACAGACAGACAGAAGGACAGAAGGACAGACACACTTACGAACCAAGTACTATAACCCTCTAGCGCATGCGCGCCGAGGGTTAACTACTCTCATCCTCCAGTTCCTTCTGTAAGTCAGTGTACACATTCTAGATTGCGTTTTGCTGTTGATTTGCACGAGGAGCAACTTGGCAATCTAATCTGCGCCGTGTTACGTGGGATTTGCCAGGCGCCTTCATTCTTTGTCCTCCAGGTTATAGCTATCATTGTAGTCTGATTTCTGAAGGCTTCCCAATGAAACCACCACCATTAGTGCCACAACCTAATCGCGTCCTTGTTGGAGACACTACGCATACACCCTGATTCAGGTAAGAGCAGTCCATTAGCTTCTGCTATTAATTCTTAAGCCGACTCAGCATTGTTGTACGAACTACGCGCAGGCTTGGGTCTCACATGCGATCTAAAGTCAATTAACAGTACCGCGCATGCGCAGTGCGCCGAGGGTTTGCACTTCAATGTGTATAGTGTTGGGTGTCTACGTTGACTCATGAATCTGTCTCATCTCCACTTTGTCACAGGTCGAAACAGAACCAGCAGTAAATGTGGGATGGTTTCTCTGTCGGCCCGCCTGCAACAGCTAAGAAGGAATCAAGAGCAGCGAGGAGAGAGCGGTCCATCTGAATTCCTCTCTGGACATTGCCGAGCCACCGGTTGCCACGACACCAGCCAATCAGACTCTGCCTCTTTCTTCCTCGTCTCTGGGGCTCATTGACACTTGTATTACTGAACTGCAGTCTCTCTGTAACCACACCTCCTCACAAATCGATTGATGTAACGCCGCATATGTTACTACGCATGTGCAAATACGGCCACCGTCGCGTATAATCGCTGATTACCCAGGATTTAGAGTGAGCATATATACCATATCAAATTCGAAATGGCTGAAGGTATGCAGGGCATTATCTTTTGTTAAAAAACTTTTACAAAAGCAAAAAACCACAGCCGCTACCGTGGACAAGACGCTGGTACCAGACGATGCAGGGGAGATAGCTCAAGAGTTGAATGATGCAATGTCTGAGTCGTTTCCGCTGGGTCTTCAACTGAAGCTGCCGCTATCTGAAGTCGAGGCCATTCACTCCCAATACCAGAGGCCGCGCGATCGCCTTCTTCACGTATTATCGCGTTCCTGAAGCAAACGGAGCCCAGACCGACATGGAGGGTTATTCTAAAAGCTCTCAGGAGTAGTTCGGTTAAACTACCAGCTCTAGCTATGAATGTAGAGGCACGTTTCTCTGACCCTACCTCATCACGTGATGTGGTACCTCAGACTACTACTGGTATGTCGCCATCAGGTCCACTCGTCTCTTACAGTGGTGTATTGTCATGTCTCTCTGTCTGCAGCCAACAGTGATGGTGATGAGGTCAAGTCAAAATCATCCTCTCAACTTCGCCCTGTACCTGGTAAATAATTACTCCATTTCTTTGCCTCATACTCTAATCTAATTTATGAACTTCTGCTGTTCTATATTATTATAGCCACAGATGACAGCTCTGTAGTTACAACACTGCAGGGAGTGATGAGAGGTTTTCATCAAAGATTCAGTGCTATCAAAGAGTCGACAATTCAGTGCCTTGAACAGTGTTGCATGACTGTAATGACAGTGGTCTTTCTACTGACGTCAGCTCTGGGTGAATGTAAAGGTACTCTTGAAAAGAAGCTTGAAGACCTCAGCAAATCTCAAGACCACTTAGAACTCTTCACTCAGTTGAACTTTTACTGGAACTATCTCTCTTTCGGTCTACTGCATGGACTAATAGATGAACTCTTTGCAAAAAGAAATGAATTTACAGAGGTACAGAAAGAGATGGAGAAATACAAACAAGATATGCAGAAGTTTAAAAAGAATACAAAATTGGTGTTGTTCTGTCAGGTTGACTACAGTATGTTGGCGATCAATCAACCTTGCGATCTTCCTCCAGGATTTAGTAAGATGGTGACTGAACACAAGTGGCCTCAGACTGTCACACTCCAAGATGTGGAAGAATTTCGGAAACGGTTCCTGCTTACACTTAGGCTACCAGAATGTGCAATGATGGTGAACAGAATACAGGAAGGATGTTTCAAGATCACCTGGTTTGCAGTCCTGCCACCTTCTCTCGTCCAGCAACAAGAAAATATTATTCAAGTGTTTGTGGATTACAAAGTCATTTTAGTGGAGATTAATGGAGAATGTGTTTACCAACAACTACCTCAGCTACCACCACCTGTAAGTTTTCCATTATTGCAGTGATATGATAACGACGAGGCCTAGGAAACTACGTGGGTTTAGGAGGCTGAGGTCCTGGGGCTGTAGAGATCTAAGCGCAGCGAGTACACCTAAAGGGCCCGAGGCTTCCTAAATTGTGCGATTTACTATGGCTCATTCCATAACTCTTTTAATTTCCCCCACAGACAGTTTTAGTAACACGTCAGCTAATCCAGTCCAATGTCGCAAATTTTAAAAGAAGATTTAGAGAGTTAAAGAAAGCTACACAAGAAAACCTTGAGAAGCAAAAAGTCTCAGTTGAGGGAGTTGCTATTACTCTTAAGTCACTTTCAGCCAATGATGATGATGATGATGATAAGCTGATGGTATTTTCGGAGTGTCATGTGAGTATCCTCAAACAGGCTCACAATCATTCTGCTCTCATTGGACAATTAGACTTCAACATGGACTACCTCTCTTATTATTTGCTGGATTATCTGGTCAGTGAGTTTAATATGGAAGAGGTAAACGTTCTTATGGAGGCGTACAAGTCCGATCTACAGCAGTTCAGAATGAAGACACCGTTAACTATGTTCTGTCAAACGCAGATCAGTAAAAGAACAAAGCTTTCCCCGGGTTTAGAAGAAGTAGTAGCTGAGTTCAACTGGAAACAGAATGTCTCACTTGAAGTTATTATGGATTTTCAAGAAGACTATGCCTCTTGCTACAACATACATAAATTTGCCATGGTGCTAGCCAATGTTTCTCCAAAAACTGTTACCTGGTTCATTCCTGAGTCTATTGTAAAGAAACTGAGAGACAAACCGCTGCCCACATCAATTGTCGAAAAATATTTCATAGCTAACCTGGAGATTGCTGGGTTCTGCATTCATCAATCTCTTGAAGTAAGTGTGACTGACTCTGTCGAGAGTGTCTGATGATATCTGTTTTACTAACAGATGGTCTCTACCCCTACTTCAAACTAACAGTAGTCCAGCCAGTACAACTGCAGTTGAAACTGCTGAATCTGTTGCTCAAGGGTATGCAGCTGCTGTGTCAGGCACAGTAATAATGCACAGTGTCCTGATTGTTCTTGATATAGAGCTACATCATCTGTGGGTCACGAGCAACAGCTATATCCATTTGCTGAGCAGCCATCTGATGACTTCATCTGTCCGGTGACAGCTGGTCTTCTGCTCCAGCCTCACCTCACATCATGTTGTGGTCAGCATCTCTCAGAGAAAGCTGCTACCAGGATACAGGGAGAAGGAAAGCCATGCCCACTGTGTAATAAACCCCAATGGAGCACCATGTTAAACATGCATTTCCAACGCCAAGTAAAGTCACTACGTGTGTTTTGCGATATGTGTGGCTGGAAAGGAGTGTTATCACTCTATATCAAAGAACACTCCTCCTGTGATGAAAAAAACAAGTAAGTTCTTATTCACATTGGAGCATGTCTTCACACATTTTAACTGAAACACAGGAAAGTTTCAGAAGCAGTTAAAGAGTACGAGGTAACAGTTCATCTGTATCTATGGCTGTAAGACAAACCACATGTATAATTATGCTATAATGATTCCCAGTGTTTGTTATTGGTTGGTTTTTAATTATTATATATCATGGGATGGCCTCGTGTTAAACGTTTGAGCACATAATTATAGAGCCATTATAGTTACTATTTGCAACATGGGGCAGGTACGCCTTTCGTTTTAGTGAATGTAGTGTGTGCTCACACTTCATTGATAGAATTGTACTTTAGAATCTTGGCAAAACACCGATTGCCAACATTCTCCATAGGAGACTGAGACAAGAGATCCAGGAGATTAAACAAAAGTCAGAAGAAGAGGTATGTTGTGAACATAATGCTATTGTATGTAATAGCTACTTCAAGTTTTACTATAGGAGAAAAAGCCTGATTGCGAATTAGATTGGCGGGAGTTAAAGGACGATACAGATCTGAAGAGGACAGCTGAAGTTCTACGGCAGAAAGTAAGCAATGAGCTTGATAACCACATCATGGTCTGCCACTGGAAATAATGTTATTGCAGGAAATTGCATTGCTAAAGGCACAAAGAGAGCTTGTGGAGGCTCAGAGAGAACTTGACAAAAAGGGGGGCCAGATAACATTCATAGCATCAGATAGGGTTGCGGCTATAGTTGGAAAGGCATACGGAGTTGACTTCAACAGTCATGGGCAGATGATTGTCAGTGGGTGGGGAGAAAATAAGGTGTTTATAATTAACGAAAACAAACTAGGAAAGTCAATAGGAGAACATCAGATCATCCAGCCTGCTGATATAGCAGTAGACGATCATGACTATATTTATGTTAGCAGTAAGCACAAGTTTCAGAAGTTCACAAGCAGTGGTGAATTAAAGGAATGTGCTGGTAGTTATCAGGCCAGCAGTGATGATGGGGAATTTAATGATCCACGTGGAATAACCATATATGATAACCGAGTGTATGTGTGTGATCGCAATAACCATCGCATTCAGGTATTTGACCTTGACTTGAAATATGTGGATTCCATTGGTTCCTATGGAAACAGGAAGGGAGAAATAGATGCCCCTTATGATGTAAAATTTGACAAGGCCGGAAATATGTACATAGTTGAGTTGGGCAACAGAAGGGTACAAGTAATGGAGACTGATGGCCAATTCAGAACGTTTGGTCAAAAAAGGGTAGGCAATATAGGTCTCCCGACAGGCCTCCATGTTGATAAAGACAAAAACATAGTCTATATTTCCGATTTTGCCGATGATCGCATTGTAGTTTACACAACGTCAGGTGTTTTTGTTACCACTCTTGGGTCTCATGGTCAAAGAGTTGGTCAGTTACATTCACCATACTGTATGACCTCTCATAAAGGCAAACTGTATGTATGTGACTCTGGAAACAACAGAGTTCAGACATTTGATCTAATTAGTTCTCCCCAATAGTTTTGTATCACAATATTATTATTTCTGCTATTTCCAATAGATGTATCATAATTATTCACAAGGTGTCAAAAGTAGACCATCTGGCTACCAGCTAAGACCACACATGAGCGGTTTATAATTCATTCGATTTGTCAGGCGATAGCAGTGTTTGTGCACGGTTTACGGATTGGATGCAGTGAAATCTGATAAACATACAGAGCTGATTGTAATTATGATGAATATAAATTCACTTTAAAAGGTGTGAGAATGTGATTAGTTGCAGTTGCAGACCGGGAAGGATGTAGACAGAGTGGAATCATGATTTGCATGGCATTGCATGTGACTCACTACTGGTCATGGGACAAACATTTGTGCACGCGTGCACTTCAGGGCATAATTACGCATGCGTAGGGATTGTATTGTCCAACATATATACCTGGCTATCTACTACTGTAGCTAGCGGGAGACCACGAGTAAACGCGGCATACACACTAAGCCCATCAATTAGCGTCCGCATGCGCAGTTCGTCGAGGGTTTGCATGATACTATGCGCATGAGGTGCAAAGAGCTTGGAGCCTCCCACTCCACTAATTAACCCTCGGCGCGCATGCGCATCGATGGTTACGGTAGTCATTCTGTGTGTCTGTGTGTGTGTGTGTGTCTGTTTGACTGTCTATGACTATTCTCGCACTATATACAGGCTACGGAGGCGGCTTATGAGCGTAAACGGTAAGGGGCTAGAAACTCAAATGGCGGTTTTGCTGAAACGACCGCGATCGCGAGCGAGAAACTTACTTCACTCTTCACTGCAATTCTTCGTCATGGTTATAATTATGCCACAGTGCTTCCGCGATTCAGTCCTTGTCCCTATCCCTAAAGGGAACAAGGATGCATCAATTAGCTCGAACTACGTCCTATTGCTCTGTCCTCTAGCTTCAGAAAGATCCTTGAAAGACTGATACTCTACCAGTATGAACCATTCTTTTCCACTATAGTTCCTTAAAGTTTGGCTTTAAACCTGGTCATTCGACTACTCTGTGCTCTGCCACTGTAAAGAATGTTGTTCCGCGTTATATTCAAAACGGTTATCCGGTCTTAGGGTGTTTTCTTGATGCTAGCAAAGCCTTTGATATAGTCGATCACAGTATTCTTTTCAAAATTCTTGTGAATCGTGGTTTACCATTGGTAATTGTATGTCATGGTACAGTATGCAGAAGATGCAGGTACGCTGGGACTTGTCCCTTTCTGAGCCATTCTCTGTGTCAAACGGTGTTCGTCAAGGTAGAGTGTCATATCACCTTATACCTTTTTTCTGTTTACCTTGATGGTTTGTTGGTCGATTTGTGTAATTCTGGTTGTTGTTGTATCATCTCATATACGCACTACACATTTCAAAATTTCTGTAGTTACGTAAAATTAGAGAGAGAGTAAGAGATTTTCAGAAAATGGCGCAGTCTCGCTCCTTAGTTTCTCCGCGCTAAATCCGCTCGCATCCGAGAAGAACTCGAACATAATAATTATTTTGGTCCTTCGAGCCGGATACAACCCGAACATTCGTATTGCGGATGGTTCTTTCTCGGAATCTCGCACATTTCGTCGATCTAGAATACCACGTGCTCTCTCTCTCAATATGGCTACCGTTGACCCGGGACGTTTGCTCGCCAACGCCAAGAAAAGAAGAGGTGTAGCTCGCGCTTCACTCACCCGACTTGGCAACCGAATGAAGGACTTGGAAGGCGAAGACACGGAGCCAAAGACGTTGGAACTAGCGCAATGTATGTCTCAAAAGCTATTGGACTTGGACACAGAATTCCGCACTCATCATCACGCTCTCATCGACCTGACCGATGACGAGGACGCCCTCGCAAAGGAGCAAGAGGCACTCGATTCTCACGATGACCTCGTGGCCGAACTCACGGTTCGCGTGAAGCAAATCATAGCCGTTTTGTCGCCTTCGTCAAGCGAGTCTTCTCGCAGAATTGCATCTCGGAAGCTAGTTCACTTTCAGAAGTCTCTCGTCTCGATAACTTCCATTGTCTGCGACGCATCCACCACCATCTCTTGTCGAATTGCCTTGGAGGCGTGTTGTATATAAGTAGCCGATAAGTGAGAGCAAGTCTCTCTTCTTGCCTGCCTTTCAGCCTTCCCACTCTCGGACAGCAATTGCCGCAGTCGCTCCAGTTTATCTGGCGGTAGCCGAATTTCCATGTTTTGTGAGTCAAGTTCCATGCCTAGGAACGTGATAGTTGAGGAAGTATATACCTCCGCCTTTACCTGGTGTGCCTGTATCGTGACAGGTTTGAATGATACCCTCTAAATTATGTTTGCAATGGGACGAGTGTGGAGGCCCCAGAGTAAATAGTGAAACACCGGGCTATTAACTCCCCTTTTTTCCATGATCTACTGGAGAGCGTCGGCCAGCGCTGTAAATATGGGAGGTGCCGACCGCAGCCCGAACGGAAGGACTGTCCACAAGAACCTGCCCCTCCCACTGAACACCCAGGAGGTGACGGTCCTCTGGGTGGACTGGAACTATGCGATAGGTGTCCACTTTTGCCATAAGTGCACCACGACCGAGGTGTAGGATTCCCTCAACGATTTGGTCGGTCGTTACTTAGGAAATGCTGGACATGTCTCTGTCTATGCCATTGTTCACACTGGCATTCATGGGGGGACGACAAGTCTACAATGAGGCATCATTTGCCTGGTTTTGCTTTCTTTTGGGATAACCCCAAATGGGCTTATGTGGCGGTGAATGTGTGGGACCTGTGCTGGAGGAATGACTACCATGTGGTTGAGGAGTAGCTCCTGCTCTAAGTAGTAAGAGACCACATCTAGGTGCTGAAGGGCCGAGGCCACGTTGTTTCCACAGCTTGTCAGTGTCTTTGAGCGATCATAGCCAACATAGCGAAGGATCTATCGGGGTGACTGGCCAGCTCACCTCACTGATTAATGGGGTTGTTATCTCTAGTTGGGCTGCTGGTAGGCACACTGGTGATGTGGGCACATAAGCCTCTAATCTTGCTAGCTGGGGTGTGTAGGAGGGGCCTCCCATACCTGTAGTGGTTAATGCATTGGGGGGGGGGGGGGTTATTATCCCGATCGCATCGACTGCTAACAGTAGTTGCACGCTCACTGTCTAATCATGCTTAGAAAAACCCAAAGTAGTCACTGTTAGCTACATGTCCAACATCACTCCCTGGAGGATGGGGAGCATGGCAGTGCAGCTAGAGCATACATGAGTGTATGCACAGGACTCCCTGTGGGGGCACTCCATACAGTGGTAGCTACCTGTTCCACTTGCGGCAAGCCTCTTCTGACCTGAGCTGAGGGCGAGCTCTTTTTGAGTGAGGCTTGGGCTTTGCCAATGGCCTCTTCTGGCCAAGCTGGTCGTCAGCAGGCCGGTAGGGGCACATTGCTTTGACGTGATCCATGGAGGTGCATATTGAGCACCAGCCTTCTACACTGAGTGACCGTGAAGCATTGGGCATGGATACTGCTGTCAATCTTAGACCAGTCAGTTTTTACCAGTGTCGGTTGCCTCTTGGCGGAAGTACTTGTCATAGATAATCCAGGATGGCCATCTGATCAGACGGGCTATTATAGCTGAATACATGAAGAGAGTCTGGGCTCTTTCTGGGTACTTGGTCACCAGCACTGCCGAGTAGATGGCGAAACATTGCGCTCATGTTGCCAGGTAGGGAATGTGCTTCTCTGACTGCACGTAGTCTGCCGCTTGGAGCAGCACAATTTTCCCCTCCGCGTCGCTGGACAGTGCTAACGGGGATTTACCAAATCCCTTAGCAGGGGGGAACTCCCCTAGATGCACAAATTTTCCTGCTAAGATTAATTCCACAAGGGAGCGTTTCTGGCTGGGACGCCAGGGGCCACTACAATCATGTCTGAGGCCTTTGCACTGCTGCTTGGTGCCGAGAGGGGGACGGCATGGTCTGTCAGTGCGAACACCCCTGCTGAGACAATTGGCAGGGATGTGGAGGCTGATGCGGCTGTTGTTGCCAGTGGCAGGGCTGTGTGTCCCCCTGTGCCCCCCGAGATGAAGAGGGACGCCGAGGAACCCGTCACTGGGCAGTTTCTCAGCCCCAGGCTTCCTAAGATGCTGCTTGGAGTGCCCAATCCTCCTACCGTTGTCCCTGTAAGGGGTGGAGTGCAGCCGTGAGACAGAGTCCAGAGCCTGTGGGCCTCTAGTTGGCACTACTCTGCGAGGGTGTGGCTAGAACAGGGTGCAGCTCCATGGGCCCTTGCTCTGTAGCAGCCTTGCTGGCTGAGCTTGGTATATGGTCGAGTATTAATAGCCGAGACACTGGACCAGGTGTCCTCTTGCCCGCATAGCCCGCATCCTCTGAGCTAGCTAATTTGTGACTGAGGTCCCCCGATGCTTTGCTTGCTTGCGGCACTAGTGTTGTAGCGCCGCCACAGCAGTGGGCACTGTCACGCTGGACGCGGCAAAGTTGCCCCATAGCAAAGACCCCAGATGATCCTCGGCATGGTCTTACCAGCATCACCCAAAATGGGTTCGAGTGATGTGGGTTTGCGAAACCTGCCTCCCCTTGAGGTGTCGCCGCACTCTGATGCTGTTGGTCCAGCAGCCCCCCTAATGAGAGCTTGGCCCGGGCATGAGTGGTGTGGGTGTGACCACCGCTTGACTGGCACAGGGGAGCTTGGTCCCGGGCATGAGTCCGTCCCGCGCTGCCCTATAGAGGACAGGTTGGGCCCGGGCATGAGACTAGCCAGCACTGCCCGATAGGGAGGAGCTTGGTCCTGGGCCTGAGACTGCCCAGCCCTGCCCTATAGGAAGGAACTTGGTCCCGGGTATGAGTCCAGCCCATACTACCCTCCATTGGACCCGGCATGAGTCAGACTAGCACTGCCCTACAGAGCGGACCCGGGTGAGGATCTGACCAGCACTGCCCTCTATAGAGGGGAGCTTAGACCCAGATGAGGATCTGACCCACACTGAGGACCTGACCAGCACTGCCCTGTGGAGAGGAGCTTGGTCCAGGGTGTGGCACCGCCCTATTGGGAGGAGCTTGGTCCCCGGCATGCAGCACTGTGAGGGGCTCGAGAACTATGCCTGTTCCCTCGCTTAGGCTTCTGCAATCCGGACCAGCACTGCCCTGTTGCTAGGAGCTTGGTCCACTTGACTCCAAGTGACGCCTACTGTGACCGCTTTGCCGCGGTGTAGATTTTGTCCTACGATTGGTTCCTAAGGCAACAACCAGCTTCGACTACTTCCGTCCTAGCGCCACCCCTGCTCGCCCGAGTATACTCACATTCCGAGGAATGGAGAACGGAGTGGGGTTACTAGTTAGCTATGATATTATTTAGAGGGTCGGTGAATTAGGACAGGTGGTACCTGAGGCGGATGTAGAGCTTGGAGGAGCCGCAGGTGAAGAAGTGCTTAGCGCCGCCTGGACTCGTGCGTCGATGGAGGCCATTATTGTCGTCATGGATTGTGCCATAGCCGTTTTCACGGACTGGTCCAGCATCGACTGAAGGGTCGAGACTGCAGACATCGGCGACATCCTGGTGGCACTTGGAGCGGTCACCGTCGTGGTGGTAGCGGAGTTCCCCGGTGCTGGCGGCTGGCTGCCGGGCGTCGTAGACGTGGTAACCGCTGTCGTAGCTGGGACGTCCATCGTGAACAAATCAACATCCAGTGCCGGCCCAGCTGTGCTGACTAAAGCCACGAGGCCTGTAGCGCTTCTGAGCATGCGCCGTTACTTATATTAACTGCTCCATGCTGTTAACCCCGTTTAATCTAAACTCCATATTGCGACTATCTTATTTAACGAACGTTGGTGTGCGTAATTTTGACACTAATCGTAGATGTATAGCTCTAGCTATGTGTAACAACACAGGTTACAACGTGACTAAAGAGGAGTGTGATGCTCTCTCGCTGGCCACAGGAGTATCTAATATTGCTACTGCCACTCTCAGCTTATCTCTTTTGGTATGTTTACTGGCGATAAAAAAGACGAATGCCTGGAATACTGGAATAAAGCGAGCAACCATTGTGTTTTCGGTTTATCTAACCCTCTCTTCGATTAATTTAGGCGCAGTAATGCTTTATAATGGGTTTCTTCCCTTTGGTTACTGTGAGGTAATGTATTTTATCGATTTGTACACAAAGCTGATCATTTTCTTGTACATGGTGGCTATATTAGGAATGTTGTTGATACAGATAGGATCACCAGTTTTTAATGGAACAAACTGTTCTCAGAAACTCAAATCACTCTTATCAGTAGTGTCAGAAGTTTTTGTTCATGTATTGTTATCTTTGTCATCTGTTGTGTTTGCTGTTGTGGTTTTGGTTTCTGTTAATTGTTCGAACACTACTTGTGTTCCAAAACATTTTTTCATTAATGGGATTTTTGTTGCAATTTTAATAATGTCATTTGTTGTATTATTCATTTTGTGTACTGCCATTTTTCTTCTGTACTTGTATTTAAAACTATTCAGAAGAGCAAGAATCACAAATAAGCTGAAATGGCCAGTGTTTAAATTGTCAATTGTGCTTACATTGTTAGTCATAGATCTTACTTTACAGATATTTTTATACTGGATGGTAGAAGAAACCTGCATATATTTTGTTGGTGGCTTTACAATTATCATTGATCTGCTGGCGTTTGTGTTTTTTGTGACAGTAATGGCAATGCTGTACATCCCGAGAAGCAAGTGTTGCAAGGAAGTCCCGGACAAAACCCCACTTTTGGCAAACTCTCACATTCAGTGTACCAATCCTTCATCAGTGTGGGATCATCGCAACACTCCTAGCGACACCGTTTTCAACCCACCCCCAGAGATGTCTGATTGTGTCTACTAACATTAGTAGTTAGAAGTTTTGTTGTATGCACGCACATTGTGTGAATATATAAGTACAATGAACTTCTCAAGGTTCATATTTTTAGTAGACTGTGGATTGTTTATCAGCACTACTGTAGATCTAGCCACACCTATGAAAAATATAAATGACATTCATATATACAATCAATGTTGCAGAAAACAAGTTCAACCATTGGCAGTCAAGCGTTGTGTACATAATTTCATTGCTACAGCACACAGCAATGACTGCATGATAGCTATATACACAATTCTCACGGATTATAATATATACTCACACACAAAACTGCAAACAAAAAGCTACAAGTGTTTTGTTTCTTCATAAAAGCACTCCTCCCTGCTGGTAGGAATCTCGCTGTACAGCCCACTGCCACTGGACGATGGCAACTGCACTCCTGGCAGTGTGTTGGCTCCATACAATGGATTTGAGATCGGATCCTTCCCTTTCTTGACCTCGTTCAGTCCATACGTGGGGTTTTCAACTTCTTTCACCGCCATTTGTTTCTTTTGTACGATAGAGTATCCAGAGTCAGTTAGGTCCCTCTCTTGTGCATGGACTCCATAACCATAGTATGGGTTCTTCAGATCTGTAACAGTGGGACTGTCAATGCTAGTACTGGTCGATATTTCCAGTTGGTCTCTTTCTGCCCCTTGCTTTGAACTGAGGGAAACATAAGTACATTATGGGCAGACACTGCTATAATACACACTCACCCATTTCGCTTGCATCTAATGTATGTGGCACAAACAGCTGCAAAGACCACCAGTGCTACAAGAAGAATTACTCCTGCAATACTGACTCCAATAGCAACTGATGGTACATTTGAGTCCTCAGTTTCTTCTTCATCAGTAGGATTTACTACTTGTACCTGCTCCTCTTGTACTGTCACTGTTGGTTCACTGGAGACCCATTGCTGCATGTTCTCCTTCAGACTGTCACTGTCCTGCTCATTCGTTCCAATTATTTGGCCCTCAAATCTCACTACATCTCCTCTGCTATCGTCGCATATGAACATGGTATGAGTGAGGTAGTCGCTCGGGAACACACACTGACAATACTGGGATATTCCACGACTTATTTCAACAGTTAGGTCTCTTGCTTTGTCTACAGGCAGCTCCTCCTATCAATTCAACTGTATCAGTATATGAACTCAGAACACAGAGACTCACAATCCACTGGGAGCAGAAAGTCACCTCAATAACCAATGAAAAACTGGCAGAGTCAAACCCTGACAGAACCAAAATACAGTTACACCATGCACTATACTCATTGCTGATACACTGGAGCTACTTACAGGACACAGACTTGTAGCTAACGACTCCAGCCCCAGCACCAGTCACAGCAGCTATCCTAGACACAGTACTCGTGTCTAGGATCCAACACATCTGTGAGGGAATAGGCTGGGGAAAGAGCTTCAACCCACGTGCTGTTTTCATAGCCCTCAGGGACAGTGGGACAGGAGTCGCTCTGTTTGGAATACACAAAGAGATAAGAGGTCAGATTTCCCCTCAAATCTTGAGGTCTCAGCGGTTTCCACTCTATCAATGCAGAGGTTGAGTTAGTTCTTTGAAGAGCGAATATGGTTGGTGTAACCAGAGGAACTGAATGTAAACAAAGCATGTTTTTCGATATAGCATAACTTTAGAAAACGGCATACCTCCTTCTTTGGTAAATATGACAATCTCTCTGGCTTCTCCCACACCTGCACTGTTTGCAGCTCGCACTGATATCTCATACGGAACATAGGGCCCTGAGGAGGATTTAGTACCACCAGCACAACAAGTAGCTAAGACCCTACAAGCTAACACAATAAAGACCTACCAACACCACTGTTTACGGCAACTTCAAGTGTGTTGGGTGAAACGGTTGTGGTGGGTGAACCGCTTCCAAATACCAAGTCAATGACTGTCAGCTGGTATCCAGTCAGAACTCCATTGGGCAAGCGAGGGGGATTCCAAGAGACATTGAACGAGGTTTCAGACACTGCCACCACCTCAAAACTCTCAACTTCACTGGGAGCTGTATGAAAGAGAGTATTGGGGTCTTCGGTTAGCTAGATGTCACAGACAAACCTGATTCTCTTGTTCTGGTAGATACTGGTTGTGACTGGGCATTCTCCTACACTTGTACTGGCAGAAACACACACACTAACACTTTGTTATGGCGTTAGTCCACTGTAGTCATAGTTCCTTTGTGAGGTGTTGGCTGTGTCAACTAGTACTGGTTGGAAGTATAAACAGCATTAGCCGTACAATGCCAGAAGCGCTCTAGCTTTGCAACGGAGCATTTTCAGAGAAAACCGCCTTTATTTTCTGACCTTCGTCGCCCGTTTGGTAGATGGTATCGTTTCTGGGACGAACAGATGTTCGAGGAGTGACATATAGAGTAACAGACAAACAGACAGACCCAATGAAAAGCACTGAAGTGCAAACCCTCGGCGTATTGTGACGCGCACGCGTAAGTAACGCATGCGCAGTACCACTAATTGATGGGCTGGGTTTAGTTTAGCTATTACTCGCGGTCTCTTGCCAGCTAGCGCAGAGTCTGACGCTGGCTAACTACACTACTAGATGAGATGCAAGAGGCGATACACGCCCTGCGTTGCATCTTCTGGTGCCTCCGAGGTACGCAGAGCATGCGGAGCGATTATGTCGTAGTTAGCCGCACCATCCGTTGTGTATTTGCATATTGGCTTTTTCACGCTCTAGCTCTGCAACGGAGCAGTTTCAGAGAAAATCCCACATATTTTCTGACCTTCATTGCCCGTTAAGTAGGTCGTACCCTTTGTGAGACGAACAGACACTCGTGAAGTGAGATTGAGAGTAACAGACACACACACACACAGACATACCCAACTACAGTACCCTCGCTGCGCATGCGCGCCGAGGGTAATAAAAAGCACTGAAGTGCAAACCCTCGGCGAACTGCGCACGCGCGGTACCACTAATTGATGGGCTGGGCTTTTAGTATGCGTTTACTCGTGGTATCCACGCTAGTAGTTCGCGGAGAGTCTGACACGGACAAGCTACAGTAGTAGATAGCATGCGGGAGTCGACACACGCCCGTTCGTCTTGTGACTTCTTATGCCTTCAAGATACACCGATAAAAATGGCCGACTACGCATTAGCCATACAATGCTGGAAGCGCTCTAGCTCTGCAACGGAGCATTTTCAGAGTACTTTCTGACCTTCGTCGCCCGTTGGGTAGATGGTATCGTTTCTGGGACGAACAGACATTCGAGAGGTGAGATGTAGAGTAACAGACACACACACAGACAGACAAACCCAACTACAGTAACCCTCGCTGCGCATGCGCGCCGAGGGTTAACTACTGTACCTTCGCTGCGCATGCGCGCCGAGGGTAATTAGCACAAGACCGGGCCGCTTGCTTTGTGTATCTTGAAGGCATGGTCACAACGAAGGACGTGTATTGACTCCCGCATGCTATGTAGCTAGTCCGTGTCAGACTCTCCGCGAGCTACTCGCGTGGATACCACGAGTAAATGCATACTAAAAGCCCAGCCCATCAATTAGTTGTACCGCGCGTGCGCAGTTCGCCGAGGGTTTGCACTTCATCTTTAACCCTCGGCGCGCATGCGCAGCGAGTACGTTTGTCTGTGTGTTTGTCTGTCTGTTACTCTCAATCTCACTTCTCGGGTGTTTGTTCGTCTCACAAAGGATACGACCTAGATTCCGGATAATTGTGCGTGGGCGTATGTTTCAGATATTTTTTTCAATACGCTCGTGATTTATAGTGAATTTAGGTATATTTCTCGGATTTTTCCTACCTTGTTTTCCAAACTCATTAGCAATTCATATTCCTCCTCAATACATTCTCTATTGGAGACTCACCCAGGAGCGAACGGTCCGCCTCCATTATGCGCAAAGGCGTTCTTTGTGCCTCCTGTGGCACGCGCAGGCGTATTAGAGCCATCCCGAAATATAGGCGTGGGCAAGTTTTGTTTTCACGTTGACCTTTGCCACCCGGTCACGCCCGTTTTTTTCTATAGCGCAAAATTAGCTTCCCGCGTACCGAAGCAGGCAAAGAAAGCCACTGCGCATAATGGAGACAGACCGTTCGCTCCTGGGTGAGCCGCGCACGAGTTTTCTCTCCCATAGAGAATGTATGGAGGAGGAATATGAATATGCTAATGAGTTTGGAAAACAAGGTAAGAAAAATCCGAGAAATATACCTAAATTCACTATAAATCACGAGCGTTTTAGCTGTGCTATTGAAAAAATATCTGAAACATACGCCCACGCACAATTATCTGGAATCTAACGGGCAATGAAAGTCAGAAATTTCGAACGGTTTTCTCTGAAATTGCTCCGTTGCAAAGCTAGAGCGCGAACACAACGGCTTACCACAGTCGCAACGATCCGCGTGCTCTGCGTACTTCGGAGGCACCAGAAGATCTCGCATACTATCTAGTAGTGTAGTTAGCCCGCGTCAGACTCTGCGCGAGCTGGCAAGAGACCACGAGTAACAGCTAAAACTAAACCCAGCCCATCATGAATTAGTGGTACGGCGCATGCGTTTACTTACGCGTGCGCGTCACAGTGCGCCGAGGGTTTTCACTGCCATTAACCCTCTGCACGTATGCGCAGCGAGGGTTATTATTATTATCATTATTATTATATTATTATCACATGCCAATAATAAGGCACAAAAAAGAAAGAAGAGATGATGAAATAAGGAGTTAATGAACATGATAATTTAAAAAGAAGCTCTTCAAATGGCCGATACAGGACCAAAAACATAACGGATAGAACGAATATTTGGGCAACATTGTAACATGATCAGATATGTTTCATTTTGTAAGTGTAAATGACCCAAACATGAACTATGATCCAACGAAGGTATAAGCTAAAAAACATGTGTCATGAAATATACGTGAGACAAATGACGAATTTGACATAAGGCCAGAATTACAAAATTTAATAAATCTTCCATAAATTATTCGAAGTATGTTTGTAGTCTTAGCAACACAGTGTACTATGGAAACATGACAACGGGAGGGCAAGTGCCAAACTTTTCGCATGATCTTATTCAGAGCAATTTGAAGAGAGTACAAATTGTTTGACCCTAAATGCCAAAGGCAACAACCATAAAGGGACGAACAGACATGCCCGAGACAATATAACTTAACAAGAAAACATTTGACATAACTATCAGCAAAATAGAAAGTACAGAGAGAACAATTAGCTTTTTGGTTCAGATCTTTGAGTGCACTGGTTACATCAGGTCCATCGTTTAGGTCAAAGGATAGCACATGTCCAAGATGTATGACTTCATTTTTATATGGAAGAGCAGTGTTGTTGAATGTGATCAGTGGTAAAAAGCGACAGTTTTTGCAAGAACGAAAACAAATAAGCTGAGTTTTACTAGCATTGAACAACAAACCATGATCATGAGCATATAAACTGCAAATATCCAACATCCGTCTAAGAGCAGACGCACATGGAGCCAGGATAACAATGTCATCTGCATAGCAGAGTGCTCCTGCAAACATGTGACCCCAATAACAACCAACACCAGAGTCTGATAACTCTTCCAACAAACCATCCAAGTAAACAGCAAATAAAACTGGTGAGAGGACTCCACCCTGTCTGACACCATTTGAAACACCAAAAGGTTCGGAAAAACAATCACCCCAACGAACTCTCATCTCCTGTAAGCTATACCATTTACCAAGAATCGAAGAATTGGAGTAGGCAAGCCCCTATGTTGTAACTTTGAGAAGAGTTTACCATGATCCACCAGATCAAATGCTTTGGAGGCATCCAAGAAGCAGCCCAACACCGTAGAACCGTTGAAAATGTATCTTGAGACGATATTTTTTACAAGACCTGTGCAGAGAGATGTTGAAGAGCCAGACTTAAAGCCAAACTGAAGTTGGTTACTAAGCAAGTAATGTGAATACTTGTCAAGAATGATATGCTCCAGGATTTTGCTTAAGCTAGAAGCAAGAGAAATAGGCCGATAGTTGTCACTGATAGACAGGTTTTTACCACTTTTAGGAATTGGTACCAGACACACTATCACGAAAACATTTTGGCATGTAGCCATGCCTTAAATAGCGGTGAACAGATCAGCAATAATCTCTGACACAACCGGAGTTCCATGCTTTAGAAGTTCAGTAGAAATACCAGAGGCATCAGACTTATGAGGCTTAAGGCAACCAATAGCATCAATAACTTCATCCTCTACCACACAAATATCAGCTAACTGTGACATAGACAGTGAGAAATTAAAGCAAGAAGAGAGAGAATCACGAGACGCAACAGAATGAGTATTGAGAATTTTCTTTAAGTTTGAAGCCATCAAATCAGCAATATCATTCTCCCCACTGATGCCATCAATGGTCTGAACTTTACTACCAGTTCTTTGTTTGTTTAAGGATTTCACTGTTGACCAAAATGAGGTTTGTTTCTTTTGAGCAAATGCAGTTGCTAGTTTACGTCTTAAGATTTTATCCTGACCTCTTCGTAAGCGACGCACTTCAGACTTAAAACGGGATCTGGCATGTTTCTTGATCTGAGAAAGAACTCCAGAGGAGGGGCACCCAGCTTCTGACCATACCCTATACCAGAAATTACAGGCCCTTTTGAGCAACTGAGCCTTTTTAGACCACCCAGCAAGTTTCCGATGAATTGAAACTGATCGTGATGGAACGCAATTGAGAGCAGACACCAGAAGAACATTAACCAAATCCTGAGCATAGGAATCCAGAAAGGAAGAATGACTTGAACAGGACGGTGAGGCACAGTCACGAACATAAAACGGTAAAGCAGTAATGTTTTTAGAAACCATAGCACAGAATCTCTCGATATCAATTTTCGTAGCCTTAGACCAATCAAGTGTGTGATTAACAGTTGGAGGAGTGGAAGAGGAAGAACGTGCATGAGAGCATTCCACAGCAAGAGAGAAGCATAAAGGGAAATGGTCAGACAAAATCTGTCCAGATCTTAGAGAGGAGACATCAGTGACTAATGAGTAGTAAGAGGCAGAGCAAAGAACATGATCGATCCAAGAAGGAGGAAAGCCCTGGGATCCCTCATAGGTGAACCCAACAGAATTCTTGAAAGGTAGATCACAGACAAACAAATTTAGATCAGATTAAAATCAACCAAAAGAGAGTGAAAGGGACCAGAACGATCAAAGTCCACATTAAAATCTCCAGCAATCAATAAGACATCAAAGTGTTGAGAAGTAATGAAACCATGAAGTTCGCCAAGTGTGTTCAAGTACTCAGAGGAGGCTGTACTGGAACTGCGAGCAGGCATGTATACACAAACCAACAAACATGACAGACCACAAGAGTCCACACACTTTACACCACAAAAACGATTCGAACAAGACACAAGTGGAGATATGAATGATGCCAAACTCTTACGATATATAAGCGAACAACCACCAAAAGGCCGCCCTTGCAATAACACATCACTATCCATGCCACTAACACTGACAGACAGAAACTCAGACCCGACATTATTGATTTTGTGTAGATAATCACGGTGCATAATAATTATACGCATGACATTAAAATAGCAACGATTGTGCGTGGGCGTATGTTTCAGATATTTTTTTCAATGGCACAGCAAAAACGCTGGTGATTTATGGTGAACTTAGGTATATTTTTCGGATTTTTCCTACCTTGTTTTCCAAACTCATTTGCATATTCATATTCCTCCTTCTATGGGAGAGAAAACTCGTGCGCGACTCACGGCCTGCTTCGGTACGCGGGAAGCTAATTTTGCGCAAAAAAACGGGCGTGACCGGGTGGCAAAGGTCAACGTGAAAACGTAATGCTCAAAACATGGCCACGCCTATTTTTCGGGATGGCTCTAATACGCCTGCGCGTGCCACAGGAGACAGAAAGAACGCCTTTGCGCATAATGGAGACGGACAGTTCGCTCCTGGGTGAGTCGCGCACGGTTTTTCTCCCATAGAGAATGTATTGAGGAGGAATATTAATATGCTGATAAGTTTTGAAAACAAGGTAGGAAAAATCCGAGAAATAATATAACTAAATTCACCATAAATCACCAGCGTTTTTGCTGTGCCATTGAAAAAATATCTGAAACATACGCCAACGCACAATCGTTGCTAACCTTTGACAGGCAGGCAGCATGTGAAAAGGTTTGGAGCATGCGCAGTTACGGTCATAATTCAGCGCCGTTCGTATATACCACTATGTTAGCTCTCTCCCCGCTCGCCAATTATAGCTAGCTATAATATAGCTAATCCTCAAATAAACGCCCTCCCGTATAGACGCCAGCTGTCTTGGCGAGCGAATCGAGCCTACCTAGTCGTCCGAAGGCGAAATATGTTTTTATGTACCCACGGATCCAGCTACACGTCATTCTAAAAATGAAAAGCATGCGCATTTTCCGCAGCGATAAAAATGGCCGACTACGCATTAGCCGTACAATGGTGGAAGCGCTCTAGCTTTGCAACCGAGCGTTTTCAGAGAAAACCGTTAAAAATTTCTGACCTTCATTGCCCTTCATTGCCCGTTCGGTAGGTGGTATCCTTTGTGAGACGAAAGAACACTCGAGAAGTGAGATGAAGAGTAACAGACAGACTGACAGACAGACAGACAGACAGACAAACCCAACTACTGTAACCCTCGCTGCGCATGCGCGCCGAGGGTTAATGAGCGCGCGAAATAATCGCTTTATAAAGTCTACGCCGGGAAAGGGCGTTTCACTACGCTCGTTTGTCGTTGCAGTTTATGCTGCTGCAAAAGCTCTCTTACGGCTAACAGGCAGAAAGATCTACTGACAGGACCTATCTCACAAGTTACGCCCGAGTGTTGCGTTTAGCGCTACCGTTGCCGGTTTAAAGTTGGAGATGGATAGGCTCTCAGTGTCGACTAGTGCGACGATAGTTTTTCTGTCTTTAATTGGAGTGCTATTTGGACAGAGGTGAGTCGGTGTATTCGGGCAAAAAAACAAAGTGTGCGTGTAGCATCTAATGCCAGCGCACTAAATAGGCTTTTTTGCACAAAACTCTAGCTTAGACATAGTATTTGAAAAAAGCCCTTAGCTACTTAACCAAATTAATGTACTTTTTGGTCGTAGATTGAAAAAGTGTGTATATATCTCCTAAGAATAGTCCCTGCAAGTCACGTATTATGTATATAGCTATATTATACTTGGGAGGGTGGGGAGTTACCCTGGGATTCCTCCCTTCAAAAAAGTGTAAACAGCTTGTCTTAACGTGGAGGCGGTACAAGGAATTTGTAGTAGTAGCTATAGCATGTTTGCAATAGCGAGCTATGATGTAGTATATAGAGTAACTATACTGGAAATACATTGTTCTAGGACTTGTACCACCACTCAAGTCAGCTACCAGACCACATCGTCAGTGGGCTACTACTCAGAGCCCTACTCCCAGAACTACGGCTGTGGATTTTGGGATTGGTCGCGCTGCAGTCGCACAAGATACAGGTTTGAAAAAATGGTGACAGCATCAAAATAAAAGAGTGACATGGAATGAAACACTGTTTTGCACCAAATCCCTACTATTTTTCTTATTTGTGTGCTGTACCATTGAGGTATTGTACCTCCGATGCACAACACAAATGTTACGTAATATTACAGGTGGTAGTAATGCGCGGGGTATGGACACTCGAACCCACTACCCGGGGGAGTTTCTACCTATAGTTGACAAGAGGGAGAGAGCCGTTGTAACAGGAAATTTGGGTGTTGTTGTATATAGCTACATTATGGTACCGTTTATCTTTACCTAATTACTAATAACTAGCGCTGTAACGCACACGCACGTTCAGTCCTCCTGCGTGCAACCTGGCCTCCTGACAGGTATTTGGTAACTACTCACAACGATGGTGAGTACGACTCACTGACAATGTGAAGCATATCTCTCTGCTTCCATGTAGCTGCCTAGAATCGCACGTCTGTACACTTCTACTGTGTCGTGCGCAGCGATCATAACAAACAGGTCCATGCACCTGAGGTTTTATTGGCTCACTCCCGCTCGCCAAAATTGTGCTAAACATTTCTACTAGCTAGTAGGTAGCGTTTGAGAAAATGCTGGACTGGGTATCTCCGCGGCACGCTCAGGCACCCCGTTTGAGGTACGTACTATTACGTACGTACGTACGTAAGCCGCTGCAATTGATACCTGAAAGCAAGAATGCTGTGTGTGCAGCAGCCCATTAGCTATACCTATTGATCCAAAATATCTCGGTTGCAATGAAGTAATCAGTGGGAGTCAAAGTAAGAACATAGTTTGTTCTACGCACTCAATGTCTCCACGTTCAGTTATCTAGCTTCTAGCCTCTTCAGTGCAGTTAGCTATGTTCTAGAAAGACAAGGAGAGAAATGCATCGTAACGGAATTGACGCTAGGCTGGTTTCCAGAATGTCGGCCAGTTAACTAAGAGTTTAGTTAGATTTCTAAATGTGAAAAGAGGATGGGGGCTCAAGGAAAATAGATGTTATGTCCTTTCATTGGCCAATGCAGGTCGAGAACAAGAGCTGTGTATCGACAAACCGCAGTATATCGTACTGTATGCTGCTCTGGCTATACTGGGAGCCGCTGTGAAGGTATGTTTAGAAGAGTTGTAGAGTAGCTAGAATAGTTGTAGAGTAGCTAGTTGTAGAGCAGCTAGTAGTATCGTGCCATCATACTCAGACCACAGAAGTGAGCAAAATCTGATTATTCCGCAGCTGTGTGTTCTCCATCTTGCCGAAATGGAGGGACCTGTTCATCGCCAAACTCATGCTCATGTCAAAGTGGATGGACTGGAAGCATATGCACTCTCCGTATGTCAATGCCATGTTCAGTGGAATATTATGTATTATAATTTATTCCTTTCCTTTGCTCTAAAGCCGTTTGTCCATTTGGGTGTGCAAATGGTGGGACCTGTACAAGACCCAGAGTATGTTCTTGCCGGAGTGGATGGACTGGAGCGACTTGCAGTCAGCGTATGTTAGTTTTTAATCTCAATTTTCAATGGCTTGACGAATATATGACTTTTTCAGCTGTTTGCAATCCAAGTTGTGAGAACGGTGGAACGTGCACATCGCCCAATACGTGTACATGCCAGAATGGATGGAGTGGAGACTCATGCAATAATGGTAATTTTGATTTATACAAAATAGTTCCGTGTTAATGGGTGACTAAAAGAAAACATGTTCACCCATATGAAAGTGTTTGTGTTGTTGGTTGTTGGCTTGCTTTTAGTTCCAATCCTTTGCTCTATAGCCGTCTGCCCTTCTGGGTGTGCAAATGGTGGGACCTGTACAAGACCCAGAGTATGTTCTTGCCAGAGTGGATGGACTGGAGCGACTTGCAGTCAGCGTATGTTGATTCTCATTTCAATGGTTGAATGACTATAGCTAACATGATTTTTCAGCTGTCTGCACTCCAAGTTGTGAGAACGGTGGAACATGCACATCACCCAATACGTGTACATGCCAGAATGGATGGAGTGGAGACTCATGCAATAATGGTGACTTAGTTACACAAATGGTTCCGTGTTTGTGGGTGACTGCTGAAGGAGCTGTGTTATTATCGTGTGCCATAATGGAAGTGTTTGTGTTGTTAGTTGTTGGCTTGCTTTCTTTATGTGGTGGTCCCTGTAAATGAGGGGATGTGTTTGTGATGGTTGGGCGGCTTGGTAGTAACTTTTCTTATCATGTTCACCTTTGAAACTTTCGCTGCCAACAGATATCAATGAATGTGCTGTTGACAATGGTGGGTGTCATCATACGTGCCACAACACAGCTGGAAGTTTTGAGTGCAGATGTAACTCTGGGTACTCTCTGGCATCAGATGGTAGAACATGCAATGGTAAGGAGATCCCCACATTATTATGAAAGAACACTTGACTCTGAAAATACTCCACAGAGCCACCAGCTGTGCCCAGGAATATAGTAGTGTCGAATGTGGGAAAACGGACTGCCACAGTGTCGTGGGTTCCACCACCCAACACCTTCCCCAACCAACTCACTGCTGTGTCCGCCTACCGCATCTGTGCATCACAGAACCAATTCCAGGAGGGAAACCGTGTCGTCACTGCAGGACAACAGTCTCGAATGTATGAGTTCACGAACCTTGAAGAGTATACAGCATACTTCTTCCATGTGGCAGCCTTTAATTCGTTTGGAGAAGGAGCTTCAAATGATCCGATAGAGGCTACCACTCTTGAAGCAGGTCAGTGTGGACGGATGTATTTGTGACTGTGTACCCAAGGCATTGGTCGTTTTGCATAGTACTTATCCATGGCACTTTGAAAAAAAATTGTTTTGTAAGTCATAGAAAGAGAGTTAATACCCTGAGTTACATCTGCACTCAAAACTTCCACCAAGTGCCCCATACTGACAGTACAGGCCGATATGTACAAAAGAGTCCAAAAACCGAAACGCTTGTACGCAGTCAAATTGTATTATGCATAGTGTTAAAAGACTCAACTTCTATAACTCATTGCAGCTCCATCAGCTGCCCCACTTGCAGTCCAGGCATTTCCCAACAGCTCCTACAACATCACCATCTTATGGTCCCCACCCCCCGAAATTGACAGAAATGGTGTGATAATCTACTACGAGATTCAACTAACAGAGACAGAGAATGGAACTGAATTTCAATGGACATCTCCTGAACTCACTACAACACGTGGTTCACTTCATCCCCACTTTCACTATGAGTTTAGAGTTGCAGCCCATACTTCCATTGGAACAGGGCCTTTCTCTGCTGTTGAAACCGTTCAAACTTTGCCAGCAGGTACGCCACTACTGCGCTGTTTTTCTTGCATGTGATTTATTGCCTCTGCCCATTGTGTATTGTGCCCCTGCAGCTCCTACAGCAGCACCTACACAACTGAGAGTTTCAAACTTTGACTCGTCCACGATTGCACTAGTCTGGGAGCCTCCGCCATTTACTGATCGAAACGGAGACATTGTCCGCTATCATATCAGAGTTACTGAGCAAGAAACGCAGACTATATTTGAGTACAGCAGTACAAGTCAACACTACACTCTGACTTCTTTGCATCCGTACTACAACTACGTCATATCCATTGCTGCAGAGACAGTTGGAGTGGGTCCATTTACTACTGGTTTGCTTCAACCAACTATGGAGTCAGGTGAGTTTCATTCTCAGTCTTACCGGCCAGACACTCTTCCAGAGGTCTGGCACAAAACACTACAAATGTAAAAAAAAGATAAGTGGTCGCCATGTTTGTATACACCACAGTTCCTAGCAGTGCCCCAGGAAACTTTTCCATGGCCGTTGTTAATTCAACCTCCATTTTACTGTCTTGGAGTGAGCTACCACTGCCGGAGAGAAACGGTGTTGTTCAGGGCTACACCATTTGTCTCACAAATGTTAGAAACGGAAGAGATACTGATTATAGTGCTGTCTCGGGGCCATACAGCATTGTAAATCTTCATCCCGATTTCACTTACCGTGCTGAAGTTGCTGCAGTTACAGTGGTTGGTGCTGGTCCTTTTTCTTCTCAGATTGAAGTAAGACTGCCAGAAGCAGGTATGATGGTATAATAAACTGCAGTACAAATGCATTATCACATTGTTTGTTACTAATGCAGCTCCCAGCGGACCACCTACACATTTCTCAGTTGATGAATTATCGCCTCGTTCAATTACTTTGAAATGGGGGTATCCACTTGAGGAAGATAGAAATGGAGTCATTTCTGGTTTCAGAGTACGTTTCATCTCAAACAATTTTACAGATCTTGAAGTTGAAAATGCTACAATAACCATTGAAGAAGTGAAGCCATTTACACTTTACTATGCTGAAGTAGCAGCTTTTACGATGGTGGGCATAGGACCATACACTGTGAGAATACGTGTCCTTACGCCCGAAGATGGTGAGAGAAAATAAGTTTTACTTACCCTTACTTCATAATAGTCTAACATCTCAGTTCCAAGCCCTGTCAGCACGACGATGTTGGAAGCCATACAAGGAAGTCCTACTCAGTTAACGGTGCAGTGGAGGCCTCCGGAGGAACCAAATGGAGAGCTGCTAGCGTACAGCGTGTGCTGCAGGGAGTCGACCCAGCAGCCACTGTGTGACTGTGACTCTGCCATCAGTGTCAGCTCGACATCATGTCCCTGTGGAGACTTGGAACAGGATACCTCCTATCATCTACAAGCTATGTTCCCAGTGGGTTTGCCTCACGTGAAGGTCATAGGAGGATTCTCGCCATACACCAACTATACCTGCTTCATGACGGCTAATACTTCCGCTGGGGAAAGCAGTCCAGGCATTCCCCACTCATCCACTACTGACGAGTCAAGTGAGAGTTTTTTAACCACGTTTTAATGATATGGAGGGGATAGTGTGTTGCATTTTTACACACATGGTTAATAGTTGTGAGTTTATAATATTCTTCAGCCCCCGCAGATGAGCCGCAAGATATAATGGTGAATTCCTTGAATTCCACGGCTATACTAATCCAATGGAGTCCTCCACACATTCCAAATGGCATCATCCTCTTTTACACCATCTACATCAACGATAGTATTACATTCAATATCATTGCTGCCTACCAAAACTCGTTCATGTTTGGTTGGCTTTCTCCGTATCAGCTGCTCAATGTACGACTGTCTGCCAGTACTAAGGTCGGAGAAGGGCCTCTGACTGAGTCTCAAAGTGTTACCACTGATGAGTCAGGTACAGATAAAGTCTATTTTGACTTTTCGACAATTGTCATAATTTTTACATCGCTAACAAACCTTATGCCGTTACAGGTTAGCTGTATGTCCCATAAGAAAAGTATGCCATAAGAAAAGTGGTGCCTGTATAAACGGTTTACACAACCACTTCAGGTCCCTAATAAACCTGTGAATATAATTATACTTCTTACAGTGCCCGGTGCAGTAGATAATCTGGAGGTCCTTGTATTGAATGATAGACCTTCCACATCTCTTGGACCTCCACTGTCTCCAATGGAGTACTGACTGGATATCAAGTTGTGGTCACCAATAGATGAATTCCAGCGAAACGAAGTTGGACTGTGGTCGCTGCTAATGTTACAGAGCTGAATACTACAAGTGTATCCGTACGTTCAAAACACAATTTTGTAGGCAGAAAAACATACACATCTATAATGATCATAACTATACGGTTTTCATCCAGCTGATGTTTAACATTTTTCTCCATCTCTGCATACATCAAATGTACATGCACCAGCCCACTATGTTGATACAGTGTCGAGTGATGGCCTCTACTAAGTGTGGGAGCTGGAGACTCAGTAAGTGATAGAGTATGCCAAGGAGGAGTGAGCAGACATTGAGATCTGGAGCATCGTTTATCATTGCTGTTTCCTCTAGTTTCCAGGAAGCTCTCCCTTATACTATCAACAAGCACTCGTATCTCAGGGTCCCCACTGGTAGTGTGGAGTGGTGATATGAGCTCGTATGACCTGAGAGGGTGCTGGTGTCCTATGAGATTGCTACCAGAGTGTGAGATCTGGCCAGTGTCCCGCAGTCACTCCACCACCATGACACTGTGTCTATTACGCAGGAGATGTTGGAGTGACTGGTTTAAGACTGGACTCAGTATCTGTGTGTGGGTAGCTGGGACGACCAGTCCCGGGGTTTGACCTTCTCATACACTCTCGTTATTTCCATGTAGTGCAACTGTACATCATCCTATCTAACCAGGTTTTCAAGATGATACAGGGTACGTCACACTATTTTCACCAACCTGTCCCTCGAGAGGCAAAACTGCTCAAATGGATGTCAGACGCTGTGAACTTGTGTTGTGCTAACTGACTCATCATTCATTTGCAGCAAAGGGGCTGGATGAATAGTAGCGGACTGAGCTAGAGACATAATGCAGAATAGAACTTGTCTGCCGCTGCGAATTCCCCAGTGACTACATTGCAGATAGACAAGCTGAAGTGTATGAACCAGCGCCTCGTATTTCCGGGCAGGATTGTGAGCACTCACACATCAGTGAAGGCACTGATCTTCTGGCAGACCTTACAATGTGGAGTATCACCTGAACCAACTGTGACAGCTAACGGTGAAGAACTACACGTTATGAGAACAGTAATGAGCCTACAGAGAAAGCTAGAGCAGAACATAAAGAAGATTAGTGATTCCGAACAGTTTTCCCATGTGGACTGCTCTGCTCCAGTGGGAGGTGTGTGTGGTTTTATAGTTGTTATACTGGCTGTGGCTACTGGAACTGGTTGTGGCCGGCCGTGCGAGACAAAGTGAGGCCTAATATATGTATTGAATGCGACCTTCAGCTCTTTTTCTCTGGCATAGACAAATCATCGTTGTTACGGCAGCCAGACTTCTGTTGCTGGCTGCTGCCATGGCCAATGAGAATGCGATCGCTATTCCTACATCACTCCTGGATGAAAATCATGATTGCCCTTCGAAGGAACATTCCATGTGAAGTTGAGAAGCCAGGAAGGAGGAGAGTATCGATTATGACTTGCCTGTAGTCCGAGGATGAATGTGTCATGAGGATCCGGACGAGTTGATGGAGACCACCGTGGAGGGGACCTGGCATTTGCACCCATGTATCACGTAGTAGCACCTGAACAGGTGATGGTAGCGAGTGAGCGACTGAGGAAGAAGAGATGTAACAGCGAGATTAAAGACTGAAAGAGCTTTAAACTTATACTTGATTTGCAATACAGAAACTGTATAAAATGTACAATATTGGTTTTTCCTCCGACCCCCCCCCGACCCCCAATTTTTTTCCTTTTGCCTGCGATGCCATATAACACACACAAGAGCTAGGGACTGTAGCTTACCCCTCTCCTATCGATCATTATCACACCAACCATGGCCCGAAGAAAGATCGCTAACTCTCCTGTGTCACGACGGCATCTCTAGCGATAATATAGCGACAACATGTGGCCAGTTGAGGGAAATCGACCCAAATGATACGAGCACTATATAGTGTGACTGCACTCATGGCAGTGATGAGCTGGATATGAAGGTGAAAAACCTATCGCTCGGAGCTATCATTAGAGTCTCTGTAATAGCTACAGACGCTCTAGCTATAATATAGGGATGGCTAGAACC